CACTTATAATAGCATAATAAAATAAACTGTGCATCTCGGCATTTTTGGATGAATAGATTTATTTATTTATAACCACAAACATGAGAAATTTTCTTCTAACAAAAAGACTGTTACACAAAAAGCAAAACATATTGACTTTTTTCTGCAATTTAACATTGTTGAAAATAAGTAGTGTTTCTGTAAAATCTAACATTTAATGAGTTGTAAATACATTGTTCATTTGGCAGAAGCAGAAATAACTTTTTTGATTGTAAATTTTACTCTCATGCTTTTAGTTGGGCCGCAATCATACCATGACGTAACACAATCCGTTACCATGGGAACACTGTTCCTACGGAAGCTCGCGTGGCTCATAAAGCGGATGAAAAAAAACGCGAAGGCTGGTAAAGTGAGAGGCCACATAGCTGGAGAATGCCTGCCGTGGAAAGTGTCGGGACCGAGTAACAAAGTTCTGGGTGAAACAAGTCTCTTCTCCGCTGTCCGCTCCGGCCTTCACAGAACAATGAGTCTGGATAAAGCCAAACTGTGTGACTCGCTGTTAACCTGGGTGAGTTTTAAAGGTTTACCCGAGCGAAGCTAGCCGCCGCCAGCTAACAGGTGACAGCAGGTGTGGGCTAATTAACAAAAATGTTTGATTTAGATTTTGAACATGTATGCCCAGACACACGATACTATCTGTTTTAATATATATATATATATAACTCTCAGAACCTAGTGGGTCTTACATTGGGCTGGTATAGACCTTTTGAGTAATCAGTCAAGCTACGTCAATGTAAACAGTATTTGTGTCAACAAAGTCAAACAAACAAAGCCCAACTCCTGAGTTTAAGATCAACAATATTGGCTGTTTGAGATAATAGTCAAAGCTTAGGAGCAATCCACATATTTGACATTTTTATTAAACACCATAATCTCTAATCCCTCGTTATGTTTAGCATAAGATGTGTTTTTAGAGGTTTATTAAATTTAATAACGCAACTGTTTTATTTGCTAAAAACCTGAAAGTTGCGTGCACAAAACATTAATAGAACAAAAAGAGAGTGTACACTCTCTCTCCTACTAACTGAGGGACATGTTTTAGAAATGTATCTGTAAAACAAGGAAATGTTTAATTTAAAACATTACAATATGTTTTTACCTTCCCAGAGAATAACCAAAGACAAATGAAGTGAGATATCTTATCCTATTTCGTTTTGATACTGGAATAAAAAAAAAGATTAACCAGGGAATTCAAAGATTGAATTTGTTCTAAAAGTAGGACGAAACAGATTAAAGGTATTGTATCATGCTTTTAAATCCTTCTGTTTCACATCTAAATCATTCACTTATGGTCTATTTAAAATAAAACTGCAACACTTTGGTCTTAATTCCTTGTTTTTGTTGCTCCACAGACTCCTTGTTTTCCTTGCTTTACCCCTGTTCTGAGTTGTGCCTCAGAGCAAGCTGTTTTGGTGCAGTCTCTTTAAAGAGTAACTTACCCCAAAATTAACTTTTTTTAGCTGATAAACTGTCTAGAATGTGTCTAAAATGTTATATAGTGCTGTTTCTGTGCTAATTTTGACGTTTGTGTGCGTATTTGTCCAAATCTGTAACATTTGGTCTAAAAACGTCTTTTTGCTGCTCATATGGGTAGAGCAGTGGTACTGCAGGCTAATTTGCATTTTGGTTAACGGCTCTCCGCTGTGACGTGGTTCTGCACAGTTTCGTCACAGTGGCTGTGTTCTGATATAAAAGCCTCTCTAATGGTGCGTTCACACCGAACGTGATTTCAGCGTCAGGAGCAGCTGGTTTACATGCAAAGTCTATGGTGGACGCGCTTCAAGCAGCGTCGGGAAGTGCTGCAGCGCCTCAAGCGCGATTAGAGCAGCGCGATTTGAACGATCTGAGCGTTCGACGTGCTGAGGCGCAAATCGCTGAAGTTAAAAAATTTGAACTTTTGCAGCTCGACGCGCCGCATCAACCAATCAGAGAGACTCCACTGTGTGACGT